TGTAGAATACAAACTGGTATACAGCACGCACGCACGCACACACACACACACGCACGCACACACACACAACACACACACACACACACACAGAGATCTTGGCAACTTTACACAACCTTACATACATGAGCGTAGTATTTATTTCAGTTTCACTGTTACGAGGCGATGTTCAAAGAGAAGTGAACCCAGAAATCGGTTGACTCAGGACTAAACTGTAAACTGACTGAATCACCATAGGGAACAATCAGCATTGACCACATAGTCTTAGGGCTACAGTTAGAAAGGCAGCACTTTTGATCCAATATAAGACAGCATCACTAAGTTCAAGGCCCATCATGTAATATAAGTTGACTTTCAAATGTTAAGAATATTGTCATTGTTGAATGCTGTGACATGAAAAAAGGGAACTAGTGGTTCTCGGCACGACAGAGATCAAACAAGCCAATGGAACAAACACTTGCAGATTAAACTTTACGAGAAATAGTCTGAGCTTGTCAGTGATACAAGAACCAAGACTTAGTGGAGAAACCGGCTTTTTTTGTCTCGTGCAAATAAATATTCAAATGTACTTTTGAGAGGGATGCATGATCTCGTGTAAGAGGACGCCTTCTGTATCTGTCGGTGATCAGAGCGAATCAGTACACACATACTCAGTGTATCAGTTAAACACATGTTAGGGAAACACGTGCGCTGAGAGATGATACATTAACATTAGGACTTATACAAGGGATATGCGAGCTGCAGAGGACGAGATTAAACTTCAGTAATTTGAAAGGTTACAGGAAAAGTAAAGGATGAAATCTGTAAACATATCCGTCTCTGCTCCCGGACGAAAAATAAAGAGGTATAACAATATTGCACGCTTCGATTTCACGTCACTGATTTCTTGAATCTGCAATCTCTGGTGTAGAGATACTCATTCTAATTTGAACAAACAAGGTTGCAACTTCTTTAACAATCTCAAATATGGCAAGGCATTGTAATTCGAAAGAATCTTTCAAAGAGAACTGCAGTCACTTGCCTGAGTGTGTCTTAGAACATGTCAAATATAACATGTTTTGCTATCAGTACACATGCGTGGCAATGGACTGGATGGCTTTCCCAGTACACCTGTGTAACAATGGACTGGAAGGCTTTACCCAGTACACCTGTGTAACAATGGACAGGAAGGCTTTCCCAGTACACCTGTGAAACAATGGACAGGAAGGCTTTCCCCAGTACACCTGTGAAACAATGGACAGGAAGGCTTTCCCAGTACACCTGTGTTACCTGTGTAACAATGGAAGGAAGGCTTTCCCCAACACCTGGAGGAAGGCTTTCCCCAGTACACCTGTGTAACAATGGACTTTTCCCAGTACACCTGTGAAACAATGGACAGGAAGGCTTTACCCAGTACACCTGTGAAACAATGGACAGGAAGGCTTTCCCAGTACACCTGTGAAACAATGGACAGGAAGGCTTTCCCAGTACACATGTGTAACAATGGACAGGAAGGCTTTACCCAGTACACATGTGCAACAATGATCAGGAAGGCTTTACCCAGTACACATGTGTTACAATCAACTTGAAGGCTTTCCAAGTACTCATGTGTGGCAATGAACAGGAAGACTTTCCCCACTACATATCTATTGCCATGAACTGGAAGGCTTTCCCTAGTAAACACGTGTTACAATTCGCTGCAAAAGTGGAAGCTCCGAGTCCGTTGTAAGGTGGTTCGTCTCCCGAACACGTTAAACATACTCGCTTTGCCTAAATCCTTACATAAATAAGGAGAAATCTAGAAAAGGTTTAGAAAAAACAGCACGAATCAATTTGCGTAAGTCGTATTGCAATGTAAGGCTCAATTTATAGTTTCTTGGAGTTCATTTTATGTATAACATGAAAAAGATAAGAGAGAACAACAAACATCTGAAAACGGTGAAAGAGATGCTTTATCTCATTTAATACCTGAAGAGTTTATTACGCTTCGCGTTACTGAAAGTGTGACATTTTAGTGAAAAACAAGTTACGGAAATAGCGTGTAGTTTATGTCGTTTGAATTCTTGATTTATTTCAACTGTTAAGGGAATATATAGTTATAAGAGGGCATACGTGATTTGCGATGTAGACGTAAAGGCTACAAGAGATACTTTTGCATTTTGATATGGAACTTTTGGACATTATACATGAAGAATGTTAAAAGTTATATTGATAACGCAATGAGAAGTGTCGTTCATAATTAAAAGCAATTGAGAACAATAAAACCATTCCATGTTAATACGAAATAATATGTCTGATAAGTATATGTTTATGAATCACAGTAATAATGATGAACAGGAGCGTGTATCCTGCTCCATTGGTAATATTGTCACAAACACATGCAAAGGCAAGTCATTTAGTCAAGTTTAATATACACACGATCATGGTAGACGTTAAGATGAGGAATTGAATCTGGCAACATTTCGTCACTGATGCGTTACAATTGGAACTATTCGCCACATGCGAAGCATATATCTTTTTTAAAGCTATACTCAAGCTTTCTCTGTCATCAGTCCACACAACTGCCTGGCAACACACGTTTAAAAATCATCAATGCAGAGAATATTTAAAAATACCCCGAACATTCTTCGTTAAATCAATAATAAATGGTGTTTGGGTCATGAAGAAACCTTGCATCGTTAATACAAACATTGTGATTAATGACTATAGTCATCATTTACAACCACTCCTCAATGTATTTCATGTGCAGAGCCGTCTCAAAGTGTTTGGTTTAACAATCAACAATTTCGAGTAGAATACCTTCTTGGTCTAAATTTCAGCTTTGCTGTAAAGATACCATTTAAAAACCAAAACATCGTGACAACACACACTTCACATTCATTTGTGGCAGGATATAACGGAAGGGTAATACTGCTGACTGTAAGTGGCAGCTTATAGAAGCGGTGATAAATAAAACGCTCATAAAATGTTGGCCTGTGGTGATGTTACCGCTTCAGTTTGTACAGTTGTACCATGCCTCTCCGTGTTTATTGACCAAGCTCTGTACTTGACATCTTCGTTACCTTACCTCATAGAAAGTTCCTGTGTGAGAATCACGTATATATGTTTGTTTGTAGCTTTGGACTCGCATGTTCGACTATACGTTTTCGTAAGTTATATTATAGCTGGCTGCAGGTATGTAACTGCAAGACGCGGAGGATTTGGAGCTTCCGTCTGCCACCTTCCTTCGTCTTGCAATAAAAAATATAAAACTTGACTCCGAGAGCCTTTTTCATTTTTACAGTGTTCACCCAGTGTTGGCCTTTAACGCCTATGAAATGTCTACTATGGGAATATGGACACTGGACATTTAACTGCAAGAACACCAATAAAAACATAACATAAACCATTACTGGCTTCTCGTTATTGTCTTTTTGCATAACATCGTTCTTGGAATATACAATTACTCAATGAGTATTTACAGACACGCCAACAAAGTAAGGTTGTTTTATCAATGCAGCAAGAGCGTGGTTAGGCAATAGTACATTACAGAACATCGTCAAGGCTGATTTCGGATACCTTTCCAACAATAAGAACTCATAATGTACTGTAATGGAAAAAAGTTATAAAGATTAAACCATGTTGTCTTGCAGCGAGCTCGAATGATCAGAAGTGCACCTCCCTAATCACCTAAGTCACTAAATCAGACGAAGGACATCATTACCGGCGTCGAGGTGAGCCTGTCTTGACAATCTAATCCAAACCCTTTACTGATCCTTACAAACACATGTACTTTGGAGAAATAGGTTAGGTTAGGTTAGGTTGACCTAGACTGTCTGACAGTCTCGCTGCAGGTGTTGATCCTTCCCCAATACCCGATGACAACTCTTGTCCGTCAGGCCATATCCTACTGTCTCCTCGTGGACCTGATTTAAAGAGAGTCATGTTATTGCTGCCGTCTGTTACAAGAATGGAGTCTTGTGTTATGTTTTTATTGGCTGGAAAAAGGACGTTTTTGAACCTCTTGATGAGGAGGAAAGAGTGAGATTTTTTCCCATTTGCTATATATTCAAAAGGTAGAAACACCAAAGACATTCCATGAGGTGTTAAATGCTAAATAGTGATAAAAGTAGAAAATCATTAATGTTGACAAGCAAATAAAATTTACAGAAGTTATAAGGGGCAAGTCATTGATATTATTCTGAAGACAGTGTAAGACGTTCACAGAATATATCATGTATCAATAGATAACGAAGATTATGATAAACAGTGAATCCCCGTCAACCTTGTTAATCTAATCCAAACCCTTTACTGATCCTTACAAACACATGTACTTTAGAGAAATAAGGTAATATTGAACGGTTAGGTTGACCTAGACTGTCTGACAGTCTCGCTGCAGGTGTTGATCCTTCCCCAATACCCGATGACAACTCTTGTCCGTCAGGCCATATCCTACTGTCCCCTCGTGGACCTTATTTAAAGAGAGTCATGTTATTGCTGCCGTCTGCTACAAGAATGGAGTCTTGTATTATGTTTTTATTGGCTGGAAAAAGGACGTGTTTGAACCTCTTGATGAGGAGGAAAGAGTGAGATTTTTTCCCACTTGCTATATATTCAGAAGTTAGACCCGCCAAAGACATTCCATGAGGTGTTAAAGGCTAAATAGTGATAAAAGTAGAAAATCATTAATGTTGACAAGCAAATAAAATTTACAGAAGTTATAAGGGGCAAGTCATTGATATTATTCTGAAGACAGTGTAAGACGTTCACAGAATAAATAATGTATCAATAAATAACGAAGATTATGATAAACAGTGAATCCCCGTCAACCTTGTTAGTACCGGTTCCACTTATATTGCCGGCTGTACAACTGTCCTGATGACAGGGTTAACCAAATAATGTCCAGACGCAGTTGTCATTATTAATCTCACACGTGGATCGTTGCATGGAAGTTGACAGTCACACTCCGATTATTTCCGCTGAAAATGCGAAATTGCAAGTCACATCCCGATTGTTGCAACTGTTGTTTGAAACGTGGTAGTCATTTCCTCATTGCTGAAACTGTTGTTTAGAATTGGGGAGTCATTCTCGATCCACTGTGTTTCTTCCATTTACAGAATCTGAAAGATGTTAACAGAAATATACATGCCTCATCGTGGCCATTTGTAGGGTGGGTTGGTATCTCTTCCATGGCCCAGCGGATAGAGCGTCTACAAGGCAGGTCTGGGTTCGAACCCCAACCGTGTCATACTGACAGATTTCGAAAGATGGCGCTGAATTTGAATTAAAAAATAAATCGGTGGCTCCCCTTTTTCACCCCGACTCTCCAAAATCAAACACTCATGCACACACACAAACACACACTGTCTATTTCACCTGAGCCGTCAGTATGGGATGACATGCAGTATAAAATGGAGTATCATTTCTCCTAGGGTGATGTGCCACGTTGTCATTTCTTATGTTATAATAATAGCATTACTCATAATCAGTTACAGTAAATGACAAGTCACTTTTGAAATGAGCAAAACGAAAGAAATCTTTAATGCATAATGTACGTGCATAATAAACATTACCTAGGGTATCTCTACCAGCCCCTTGGTTTTCGTACACAGATTCCTTTTCAACCGTGCCAACCGTCTCTTCTGATTCTAATACAAAAATAGTCAATAACAAAATGGTTAACATTCGAAACTTTGCTAATCATTTTGATTATGAGATGCAAGCATTGGCTTGGCGATATTTAACTTCAGTTCAATTCCACCACAAAATGTGTATAAAATATTCGCTCTGTGTATGGACAAAACAACACAGAGTCTCCAGTGAAGACAATACAACCTTTAAGACGGCTTGAATTGTTAGATTGTATGGTCCTGGTTCTATATTGTCTGTGTTTTTACTATGCTTTCCCTTTCCGCTACTAATGGATATCTGAATCAAGCCTAAAGCACTACCTTGATTAAACAAAAGACAGTAACAACCTTTGTCGGTGTTTCCCATGTCGAGTTTCTCATATTCGTTTATATTCTGAGGGGTATGCTCATCAAGGCTTGCGTAGGCTCCGTCTTGAAACAGTAATGGAATTGCATCATGACATGATACTTATATTTATTATGTATGTTATAAATACAAAATAATACCATTCAGAGTAACATTAAATAATAAACTACTGTTCACTAAGGCTGTAGTTTATGTGGGTGTCTAATGAAGACAAACAGGATGTGTTACCAATTTAAGGCCTGAAATAGTAGTTGAAATAATGAGTACAATATTACTTTACCGTAACGTGGTATGTCATCTGTATATATTGGTGTAACGAGGGACTCCCTAACATAACGTGTTTAATGTTATATACAGGACAATGATATAGCTACCTGGGTTTGGTGGTGTGGTGTTTCTGGAAGAAACCAATAAATACAACGGTACAAGACAGCATTGGTTCAATACACTTCACGCAGACAACATGTTACCAAAATATCAATATCAAATATATAAATTTGATTCATTTACTGAAACATGTACTCATTGAGACATATGGGTGTTGGCGTTTTATAAAAAGTGAACATGTATTGTATCTTACCCGTGTGATTGGAGTTCGATTGCTTCTGTTTGATCTGCAAGTGGAGCATGAAGTTCAGACATTAATCCATATTCCTGAATGTTTATATGTACCATTACATGGAACGGTCTGTTTTTCGAAACCGTAGTGTATTCAATAGCCGCTTAGTACTCAGGGATGTGGTAAAAAGTTCAAAACTTACAAAACATGCCAATATCTAAGTCAGGTAGTATAAGTATAAAGCTGGAAGATCTGATAAAACACCTGTCTAAATACATCACAATGGATTATATTTTCTGCACATGCGCATCTGTGGAACATGTCTCCCTTTGCTCAATACAAACCTGGCTATACAATGATTACCTTTGTTAACTTTGTCAATGTTTCCACGGCTTCGTCGCCACATGATTACAATGATGACAGTTAACACAAGTATCACTGGCAGGGATACTCCGATTCCAATACCAATTCCTTGACCGAGTCCATCTGGTTGTGACTGACCAGTAGCACTGCCTGGAACAATACGGTCACATGGACACACAGAGTTAAAAAACAAATACAGTATGATTAAAACGGTAGCCGAGAAATGATACGCTGTGCAACACGCTTTCGTTGTTGTGTTCGTATGTTAATTCTTACACGGAACCGTAAGGTAGTCTAGTGGCTAAAGCATTCGCTTACCCTGCTGAAGATCCGGCGTCGATTCCCGTATGTGAACATGAGTGAACCACATTTCGTTCCTATGTCGTTATACAGTTAGTACTTTGTTTCAAGTGGCGTAAACTGACTCACTTACTCACTCACTCCAACCACGCAGTGTGCATACCAATGTATTAATTTTCCTGCTAATGAAAGAGGAATAAAAGGAAGTAGTGCTTCATGAAACTCACTTGCTGGTGATACTGTATAGCTGAGTATGCTTTCTCCAAAGGAGTTGTTCATCTTCAATGCGTATTCCCCGTAGTCTCTGGAGTGTTTGATCCTGACAATGAGGACTGTCTGTAAGTCGGAGCTGAATACAGTGTAGTCAGTAGTGTCTGCTATATCCTGCAGGTGCCCGCTGTCATATCGCCACCAGGTGAACTGTGGCAGCGGGTCAGAAACAGCAGTGGCCACCATGGCGGCCGTGTCGTTCATTTGTCGAATGATCGTTGGACTAAATTGTTTTTGCATATCTCGTTGTGGACGATCTGTAAAATATAAAACAAAATTTAAGTGTACAATATCAGCAAAATGCAACAATGTTTTAAGAGTGAATGTCTCATCTGAAATAATTTCACAGATGAATAATTCCTTGTTTCAGCATCAATTTGTGAAGATGTCAACGCTAGGGCAGAACACACACACACCAGTTGGTGAACACCTGGTGTTATCAGTATTTGATAGTGATTCATACATACCTGCTCATGATACAGCAGGAAGAAGAATTGTATCGAGAAGAATTATTGTTTGTACAGAAAGGGTTTTGTGCCGTTTGCTTCATGATCTCATACTCGTCTATACATTTACATTTATATAGCTCATATATCCAATTTTAAGAAGACTGCTCAAGAGCGCCATTTGCCGAATGATCGTTGGAATAAATTGTTTTTGCATATCTCGTTGTGGACGATCTGTAAAATATATTTTAAAAGTCTACAATATCAGCAAAATGCAGGAATGTTTTTGAACGTGAATATATTATCTGAAATAATTTCCCAGATAAATAATAATTTGTGCCAGCATCAATTTGTGAAGGTGCCATCGGTGGGGCAGCATACACACACCATTTCGCGAACACCTGGTATCATCACTATTTGATATTTATTCATGCAAACATGTTCGTTATTTAGCCAAAATTATCTCAAGCATAATGTATTTTGGAGAAATTTCTTCGGGGTACAGAAAAGGTATTGTCCGGTTTATTTCATGATCTCATACTCGTCTATACATTTACATTTATATACATTTATATAGCGCTAATATCCAATCTCAAGAAGACTGCTTAAGACCGCTTCTGAACTCTGTATGCAATGCTGAACAAATGAGTTTTTAATCTGGATTTGAAAGTACTGAATGTCTCTACTGATCGAAGAGAGAGACTATACAGAAGGTGTTCAGTGATATTATGCTGGCGATAACTGACGTGAATGTGCTAGTGCCGTCTATTTACAACTGTTAGTTAATAGCTGCATGGAAATATAAATATACACAAATATAACTATCCTCAAACGTGTGTAGAACGTTTATAGGTAAATATTGTTCATTTTTCTTTTTGACTGTGAACCGCATGCTGATGATATGGTCGGAATCGATAGCTTTGTCGCTGTATTTTACGTATTGTTACACTGATAAAAAAGCGTTTTGCCGCTTCAGAGGGTTACACTGTACATTTGAATATAGATATCTTGAATTGAAACGTTTACATTGTCGTCCGGGTCAATAACTGGTGACAGCAGACGCTGCAACGTAGTTTTTACTCACAATGTACATTGACGTTGACCTGGGCTGTGTCCGACAGTCCTGCAGTGTTGGTGGCTGAACAGGTGTACACTCCTCCCTGGTTCCTGGTGACGAGTCTATCTAGTACAGCTCCGTCCTTGCTGTACCCTCCCGGACCTGTCCACCTGTAGCGTGTTGTGGAGGGGTTGCCAGGTGTGATGTTACTGCTGCAGTCTATACCAGAACTGGCATTCTCCGTCACGTTCATGTTGGTAGGGACGGATGTTATTTCTGGGGCATCTGTGTCGCAATGTCGCAATAACACCAAAGAATATCAACTAAGCCTTGCACTGATTAGCAGACGAAGTCCAAATTATGTGCTTAAAACACTTCTCTGTTGCTCTCCCCAGACTTTAACCATTGTCCAATGTCAGTGAAGACGGTACTCAACATATGTTGAAGATGGCATTATAATTAATTTAGATAATGAAGAGCAGATGCAACACTTACACTGTACATTGATGTTGACCTGAGCTGTGTCTGACAGTCCTGCAGTGTTGGTGGCAGTACAGGTGTACACTCCTCCCTGGTTCCTGTTGATAAGTCTGTCTAGTACAGCTCCGTTCTTGCTGTACCCTCCCGGACCTGTCCAGCTGTAGCGTGTTGTGGAGGGGTTGCCAGGTGTGATGTTACTGCTGCAGTCGATACCAGGACTGGCTTTCTCTGTCACGTTCATGTTGGTAGGGACGGAGGTTATTGTTGAAGCATCTGGTGGTAACATATTTCGCACGGTTAAGATATAAACGACAACGGCAGTAGGAACCACCTCAGTAGGACACAAAGGCAGTAATGCACAAAACGCAAACAGAGAATGGAATAGTGATAAACAGTGACAACACCGGGTGTTCACTAAAGGGCAAGCATGTCTCATACCACCGGCCATAGCCCATTTCGAATACACGGTAGGAATTCACTGGTAGGAATTCTAATAATTATATATAGTAAATATCGATAAAACGTTCAGCTATATATTGAATTGAATTGAGGATGTAATATGATTCTATGTAGCAGATGGATATAGTTGAATCATACATATATGATAACATCGAACACTACTTGTTATCAGATGAATACAAGGGATTTTGAATAACCAAAATCTGATAAAGCTGTGGTTGAATAAAACACCAGAATTATGGAGGTTAGTGGGAGAGTTGTTATTTTTCCTGCTTTTTGCAGTATTTCAGTTTGTTTGTTTGTTTGTTTTTCAACGCCACACTCAACGTTATTCCAGCTATAACGGTGGTTGGTAAATAAGCAGACCAGACAATCCAGTGATGAACAGCATGAGCATCGATGTACGCAATTGGGATGCGGTGACATGTGTCAAGCACGTCAGCGAGCCTGACCACCCGATCCTGTTTCACGGGTGCAGTATTTCAGAATGATACAAGGTGTGACGGTAGGGGTGGGGTGTCGTGTAACAATATCTCAGCCTCAGGAGCTATGCCGCATGTACCAGATGAAACTGAACACAGATATGCCCAATACATATTTACCTGATGAAGAAGAGATATTTACCTATAGATAATTAGATAGATACAAAAAAGGCCGCCCACACGATCTGTTATGAGGACAAAGTATGATGTCGTTTTCCTAATGCATATTCGTTAGGTTAAGTTCGCGAGTTAGGTTTAAGTTTGGAATATTTTCAGTTCCATCACAACATTTGATCTGGGAGGAACGACAGAGGTACGTGGAGGCCACAAGCACAAGTAAAGTGGCGACAACGATAAGCAAACAGTACCTGATTGTCTGGGATCTGAACACGCGATCAGCGCATCATCTCACAACTAAGGGACACACCTCTGCTTAGTAAAATCCGGCTCTTTGGACCACAATGCATCTCGTGCGGCCAGGTCGTGTCAGTGAGACTGTAGAATACTTACACTGAACAGTGACGTTGACCTGAGCCGTGTCCGACAGTCCTGCAGTACTGGTGGCCGTACAGGTGTACAGCCCTCCCTGGTTCCTGTTGATAAGTCTGTCTAGTACAGCTCCGTCCTTGCTGTACCCTCCCGGACCTGTCCATGTGTAACTAGTCGTCGTTGAGGGGTTGCCGGCTGTGATGTTACTGCTGCAGTCTATGTCAGGACTGGCGTTCTCTATTATTTGTCTGTTTGTCGGAACAGATGTAATGCCTGGGCCGTCTAGTTGGTTTATAAACAGAAACATATGGGGCATTGGGATTAAATGTTGGTATTATGCAGTAGTAGGTAACATGTGTACAAAGGTACACTGGTCTTCTGAGGAGCAACTGCGTGTTCAGTACTTCCGTAATGCAATGACAGTTTTTTTCTGCCGAAATGTGTCTGTTAAACATATTTCGTTATGATTATTTTATACGAGATATACAACGTCCATCATAAGTTAACTATTAATTACACAAATCTTGCTTTGTAAACATTCTTGTGGTTACTACAGACACCTGTGTTTTGTTCCAACTCTGAAATACCTACACAGTACATCCAGGCTGATGGAGTTGCTGATAGAGTTGCTGTACTGACACCTCCAGGTACCACCATCACCCGTGCTGACTGATGTGATATTCATGTAGAATACCCGCGTCTGTCCACCCACACACTCACAGGTGTACCCAGCTAGATTGGTGAACTGGATGCAGGTACCAGCATTGACAGTACACGGAGCGAATAACCGCTCTCTTTGGAAGTTCAAACCTCCTTGTAAGGAGCCACCACCACCGGCAACAGTACAGGTAAACTGAAACGTATCACCCCTTACAACAGTGGACGACGAACCTTGTAGACTTGGTGTCTGACCTGAAATGACATAGAGGATAGTATATGAGTGCCCATGCCATACTATGTTAACGAGACGAGTGTCTAAATGTTGGTATTTCCCGAGTCAGAGGAGGAGATATACCGATATTTAAGCACCAGTGTCGTAAACATAGTATGACATGGGCACGAATATAATATTCTATTTATTACCGAAGTCGTCATATTGAGGAAAATCAACCCAAATTTACTTTCAAACATAGGCTGGCTACCCGCCGTCGCCGCATGTAGAACGTAACGTCACAGAAGAAACGTGACGTCATAGCAATGTTCTTGAACTCACGTCACCATGGCAAAGTGATATTTTGCCCAAGGGATCGTATGAAAAATATGACCCCAATATGTTCGCCCTCGTAGGTGATAAACACAGATATAAACTGTTCAGGTCATGCCTCATGATCATTCCCGACAGTATGCACGGTAGCTGGAACAGGAACTGAAAGACATACCTTTCACGTGAGTTATCCTTAATGTAGAATAAATCTCCATGACCAGTAGGAGTGAAGTCACATATGGTCTCATGTTAACAGCAAACCTTAGCAGCTATGTATATGTGACATATATAACGTGTTAGAAATGGTGTTCGCAACGCTGCAGTTGACTGAGACAGCTATTTACTTCCCTCTTGCAAGGACAAGGAAGTAGTTGTGTTATCTAGGTCAGATATACCCGGTTCAGGGGGTCGGGTGTGTACAGTGTATTCACACAGTTGTGTAGATGGCATTCGATATGACCAGTTGAACACGATATGCGGTAAACGTTGTCCCTCAAGCGCTCTAACGCATTTAGTGTAATATAGATATACATTGATATACCATGCATGTAGACTATATAGACACACGTGATGGGAGTTTTATATGTAGCGCCATCTGAAATGTTAGTAAAATTAATGGGGTTTAGATGTGGGTCTACACTTGGTGGTCCTGTGTAAAGAGCACAGTGAAGCGCATGTCATGTCTCTTTACGTAAGTGACTTGAGCGATTCACCAAGCAGGGTACCCGGTAGTATGAGATGATGGTCCTCCAGCGCCTCACTTTGGGTTTGGGTTCTAACTATCGAGGGAGTTTAAGGCAGGGTGTGGATTTAGTGCATGTAACTTATTATCATTATGTATTTATGTGTATTTATTCATGGACCTATAGCGAGAAAGTTGCACATTGAAAACCTTAACGTGGTGTCCTGGCACACGATGGATTTTTCAGTATTATGTTTGTTGATACAGCTGTAGAATATAAACTGGTATACAACACAAATTCACGCACGCACGCTCACACACATACACATTCGATAAGTAAAATTATAGCAGGCAATGCATATTAGATACAGAATGTAGCCTGACCTCAGTGACGTCAAAAGACACCCATAAAGACAGTGGACATACGTCTAATATGCTGGGAAACGCTATGGTTTGAGTAACTCAGCTTGCCTCGCGGGAATTTGACGTGAGGAACGACACATAATTTGGTGGTGCTTTTTAACTAGAAGGAACCAAACTTTCCCAATAGGAATATTGAAATATTGAATACTAAATGAACTTGTGTTTTGATATTGTCACAAATCAAAATTAAATGAATGGTGAAAACGTACTACATGAAAATGGAAGAAATAGCACAATGGGAGTCTATCTAAAGTTTCAATTAAATCTTCGATTCTCGCATTCATCTGATTGTGTAAGTGCAATTTGACTAATGTTGGTATGGAGTATGGGGAACTAGCCTGTGAACAATTGTGATTTATACAAACATGTGAAACCAGTTTATTTGACGTCATAACATAATTTGATGTTTTTTTTCCCGCCAAATAATTTTTTTTAAATGAGTCCAAATGATCAAAAGGAGACGGTTTGTGTGTATATCGTAATTTGATAACATGCCCGTATTTCAGGCATCAATTTAACATAAATCACAGACCAGAATATTTCAAAAGAAAGAAACAAAACATGACACTGGACACTTGCCGTTCCATCGTTTTTTGTCTCCATCTCGTCTCGGAATATTCAGTCAATGAAATGTGCAAGAAATATTTTATATTGAATCAGGATAATCGTATAAAGTTTGGCTGAGATACACGTCATGTCAGAATTTTGTATACAATTCTTATGTAAAAGTAGGCAGTTTAATATTCAGTTATCACAAAACTGAAATAGGATGAAGTTAAACAAAACCAGGGGAGTAGGAGTAATGTGTAAATCAGTTATTTACGCATGACAAACACGCATCTAGTGAATCGGTAGACATTCAATGCTCTCTCGCCCTCCTTATTGATCTGTTCACACATAAAGTAACGAGCAGAAACAATGCGACAAAAAACTTTATTCTGTAGACTCGATCCTACTATCTAAAAAGCCGAAATACAAAGTTTCAGCCGCCAGTAGCTTGCCTCGTTGGTCTGGAATTATCTCCTTTGGGTTCAGGGATGGCTTGATCACGTGACCTCGTTGCTAGCAGACGATACCGAAGCTTTGCCATGACGTTTCAAAACAACAGAAATCGACTCTTGGCATATTATGAAGCAGGTATTACATCCGTAACCAGACTTGTGAAACTGACGGGACTGCATCGGGCCTCTGTTTACCGAAATTTGACGAAGGGTTAGGGACAGAGCGACAGGCTGGATCGGGACGTCGTGCTACTCTTGGGGCAAATGACAGACGACGTATCGCGCGTCTCGCGGCGGCGTACCCAAACTGGTCTGCAAAACAGCTTGCTGTGAAGGAGTCAAGTCAAGGAACCCCTAAGGTATCGGAATGGACAATCAGAAGATCTTTAAAGCAATCTGGATATGTCAAGCGTGTGCCGAAGAAAGTTCCATTGAAGGCAAGAGCACATATGGAGAAGAAGCTCGAGTGGTGCAGGGAAATGCAGGGTACAGACTTTTCAAATGTGATTTTTACGGACGAATCAAATTTTCAGTTTTATAGGATCACAAGAAAGAGGTGGTCAAGAGGTGGACGTAGCTGCAAAATGGTTCCCGAAGTTCTCACCCAGTGTCATGGTTTGGGGTGGTATAGGCAAACTCGGGGTGACGCCGCTGCTAACTCATACAGGAAGGACGGATTCACGCAAGTACTGTCAACTTATACAAGAAGGCATAATGGAATCCCATATAGGACAGAGTGGAATACCTTTCAAACTTTTACAGGACAATGCACCTGTACGCAAGTCCAGACACACCTGTAACTGGTTTGAAACGAGTCACGTGACCTTACAGAAATTTCCAGCCGCATCACCAGACCTGAACCCAATTGAAAATGTGTGGCAGATTATGAAGGACAAATTAGAAAAGTTGGAACCGAAGAGTGTCGTTGAGTGGTCTAATCTCATCAGTCAAATATGGGTGGACCTACCCCAGGACTACATAGACAGCATGGGACGCCGTATTCAGCAGTGCATCGAGAGAAACGGTGGACTAACAGACTATTGACTTGCATAAATGTAAACTTCAGTATCCAGAGTGGATGTATGAAAAATATAACTGAATTTATCAGTAAATACATTTTGAAACTACGTCTGTGAAAAGTCGCATTTTTTTTGCTCGTTGTATATCTATTCAGCATTAGTTAAGATAAAAATGTACCGGAAATATATTGATACGCTTTGGTGATATTACAATATTTGAATACTGCACTCCAAAGAAAATACGGATATATTGCAGTTACATTTTCATTTCATCTTGTAAAGTTGTCTAAAGGAATACACCTTTGCTATGTTATTGAACACTGATTAAAAAATACAAAATAAAATTACTCACGTCACAAAAGAGCGATTGATGATTGAACTGTATCTGATAGTACACAAACATATGACGTATGATGTCATTACCGGTGATCGACTTTCCGAAATGGCGTGACAACGTTTGCTGATTCAGGGATCGAATATAAAGGCATTTGTCATGTGATTGATGCAAAACAATGTGAGAACTTGTGTATTGCTGCATATTTTCCATTGCAACGAAGAAAGTAATTACATCAGTCGTGCAGAACGGATACTCTAAATACATTCAAAAATCCTTCAGTGTGTCTATTTGAATTTCCCTCATTGTTATTTCGATTCCCTTCCTATGATTATTGTCAGTGAGCCAGTGTCGACAAGGAATAGAAGAATGGATCTCTGAAAATAGGAGAAGATGCTGCAAGGTAAAATCTATGGTTTTCCGAATAAAACGTTTGTTTCACACCCGAGGTTATTTGCTTGGTTTCGTTTGGACAATTTGTAATTGTGACATGACAGTTTATCATTTCATTAAAAACTGTATGTGTAATTCCTGGATGTATGAGTGGCCGCGGAGTGCGACATGTTTGCCATGTAACAGGCAAGGCGTCTCTATTATCTATATTGAGTAAGGTTCACATCGACGTTACTTATTGCAAAACGTTTCTGGGGTGGCGATGTTTCAGGATAATCATGAATAATTTTATAAACCACAAGAATATCTATTCCATTTTCTGTCCATGGGTTTATTATTGGAATCTGTTTTTGACTTCTTGTTTTTAATTATGTTTTACAGATTTAGATGAAAAATGCAGCAGAGAGGGTTCGGGTGATCCTGGCACTGTGAGGCTGGTAAGGCTCATCATCAGCTCAGAGCCCTTGCCCCCTCTACACGCAGCCCAGACAGCGAATGGGACTTCTCCCAGGAAACGCTGCCTAGTCGAACCCACCAAGACCTTTCCGGAGAATATGTAGACTCCCCAACACTGCAACCTTCTGCATTACGCAGAGTGTCAGAAGGGCTGTGCTCCCGGTGGAGAACCCGGGCACTCACCTGATCTGCGCCAAGAGATCATATAGGAAGGAAATATCAATGCAAATACATTGATATTCCTGAGTTATTTTCATCATAACATCAACCTGGGTATGTAATGCCATTCTGCCCCTATCTCTTTTTACGTTAACAGATTCAGACTTTAGAGATGAGACCAGTGAGGCATTCCAGGGTGAATATAGATTCCAGGAACCAATATATTTTCTTAATGGCATCAAACCTCGACACATTAACTTCTACGTAGGAATACTGCACGTAACTTAGCGCGTAGTGTTAAAGTAAACTGTCTGGGACAGATACTGAAAGCAATAAATATATATGAAAGAAAAACCGTTTCAGAAGTCAGTTATAAGAAATCTCTGCCAGTGTACGATTCTGGCTGTATCAGAATTATGTGTTCATGAAACAATATCAGTAGCGATGATACCAGATGTTCGCCAAAAGGTGAACGCATCCTCTCTGTGGAACCCATCAACAACACACTCAATGCCGACCCATCTGTTTTATGAAAACAAATATGTGAACCGATCGCACAAGTCTAAATATTGAGTCGGACATGAATTTTGTCATTGATCGGTCTGAACACTTTTTCTGAACACTTTTCTGAAAACATGATCGATTTTGTATATGTCGTTGCTATATTTAAATTTTATATGCGCATTAGTGCATGAGAGGCCATATGGACACACCATGCTTTTCCATGACACATTAAACAGATTTTATAGAAAGTATCATATCCTGTTCATGTTGAGTGAGTTAACATTTATAGTCACATCGGCAGTATTCCATCCATATCGTGACAACTTGTTCATGTTGTGTGAGTTAACATTTATAGTCACAT